GATCTGTGGACGAAGCTGGGAGGTCTCTATCAGAGCAAATCACTCGTGAACAAGTTGTTCCTGCGAAGGAGGCTGTACAATCGGCGGATGAGCGAAGGTGATTCTTTCTCTGCACATTTAAATGAATTTAATACTATTTGTGCACAACTTTCATCTATAGACATCAACCTGGATGAGGAAGATAAAGCTTGAACCTTAATATGTTCACTACCCAACTCTTGGGAGCACATCATTGTGTCGATTGTTACTGGTGTTAATAAACTATCGTTCAAGACGGTTATTGCTGCCTTATTGTCTGAGGAGATGAGAAGGGTAGGTTCTGAAGGTACCTGCAATGAGGCTCTGGTTGCTAGGGAGGACTGGTGACAAATTGAAGTCTGGTTACAGAGGGAGATCGAGGGGACGGTCAAAGTCCCGTGATAAATCTGATAAATCCGAAATGAGGTGCTGGAGGTGTAGACAGGTTGGACATCTGAGAAGGAATTGCAGAAGTAAAAGCGTAGGTCCTGAGAAGCAGGATGATTCATAACCTTCTGCTTCGGGTACAAAGAAAGATGATGATGATAGTATAGGGGACCTGTACGTGGCGTTTGACAATCATAGTGACTGTAATGACTGGATTATTGACACTGGAGCATCGTTTCATATGACACCTCATAGGGAGTGGTTCTGCACCTATGAATCATATTCTGGCGGTATAGTTAGAATGAGAGATGACACGACTCATGCTATTGTTGGACGTGGGAAGTTAAAGCTGAAAATTAGTGACAAGACAGTCAAGAATCTGCCAGGTGTGATGCATATTCCGAGGGTTACCAGAAATCTAATCTCCATTTGTAGTATGGCAGATGCTGGTATTAATTTTAGCAGTGACAAGTATTCTTGCAAGCTAACTTGAGGAGCTTTGGTTATTGCAAGAGGAAAGCGTCATGGTAAATTGTGGAAACTGCTGGGCAGCACAGTATTCAATGGTGAAAGGTATGTTTCAGAACAGGCGGAGGAGGACACTTCTATGTTATGGCATAGGAGGCTGGGGCATATTGGATGAAAAGGTCTGGATACTCTGACATCAAAGAAGTTAGTGGATGGAATTCTGAGCTGCTCTATGGGGTTTGGATTTTGCGAGCACTGCCTGCAAGGGAAGCAAAATCGGGTATCTTTTGATTCCATAGGAGGAAGAGCTGAGGGGATTCTGGACCTTATATATAGCGACGTGTTTGGCCCTACACCTGTAGCATCACATGGAAAATCAAGGTATTATGTTTCTTTTACTGATGATTTTTCAAGTCATGTGTGGTTATATTTCTTGCGCAGCAAGGATGAAGTGTTCGATAAGTTTCGCGAGTTTAAGGGTTTGGTGGAAAATCAGTTTGATCAAAAAATCAAGGTGCTAAGAACTGACAATGGAGAGGAGTTATGTTCCATAAAATTTGATCAGTTTTGTTTGAGCAATGGAATTGCAAGGCAGAAGACTACGCCCTACTCACCTCAACAGAATGGGGTAGCAGAGAGATTGAATCGATCTCTCATGGAGAAAGCACGAAGTGTGCTAAGCGGTGCAGGCTTGGCAGCTGAGTTTTGGGCAGAGGCAGTGGCTACTGCTTGTTATCTGAAGAACATATCTCCTACATCGGCCTTGAAGGAGAAGACTTTGTATGAAGCACTGTTTGAAAAAAGGCCAGACATATCTCATGTCAGAGTGTTTGGCTGCGAAACATATAAGCACATACCCAAGGAGAAAAGAAGCAAGTTTGACAGTAAAACTGAAAAGTGTATCTTTGTTGGGTACAAGGATGGCGTCAAAGGTTATAAGTTGTGGAATCCGGATACTAGAAGTGTAACTTACAGAAGAGATGTTGTATTCAGGGAATCTAAGTTGAATCAAATTTTTCCTAAAGCTCCTGAAAAGTCACAGACAGTCGAGTTGGATGTGGGTTTGAAAGAGGATACAGTAAACTCACAGGTTGAATTGGGAAATTTGAATTCTGAAGCTGCTGAATATAACGAGGTAGAGGATGAATTTTCTGAAACCGAGACTGAGTTTGAAGCACCAGTGCTGAGGAGATCCACGAGGGAAAAAAGACTATCTGAGAGGTATATACCTGAAAATTATATCCTGTGTGCCAGTGATGATGTTCCTGAATTTAGTATTACAGGTGATGATCCGAGCACTGTAAAACAAGCTAGGAGCTCGGAGGATGGCAAACAGTGGGAGGAAGTTATGAAAGAAGAGATGAAGTCTCTGATGAAAATCAAACTTGGAGTTTAGTGAATCTACCTGCAGACCGAAAAGTAATTGGTTGCAAGTGGGTGTTCAAGAAGAAAGTTGGTGCCAATGGGGAGATTGAGCGCTACAAGGCTCGATTGGTTGCAAAAGGATATTCACAGACAGAAGGGGTTGATTATGGTGAGCTATTTTCACCTGTTGCAAAGTTAAATTCCATAAGACTGGTTTTGTCTGTAGCAGCTGCATATGACCTAGAGGTGGAGCAGCTGGATGTGAAGACGACTTTCCTTCATGGTGATTTGGAGGAGGTTATTTTCATGAAGAAACTAGAGGGGTTCATTGCAAGAGGCAAAGGGGAGCTAGTCTGCAAGTTGAATAAATCTCTGTATGGTCTGAAGCAGTCCTCGAGGATGTGGTACATGAAGTTCGATACTTATGTGGTGAAGCTTGGCTTTGACCGCTGTGATGTTTATCACTGTGTTTATGTGAAATGGTTAGAAGGTGATTTTGTTATTTTAACTTTGTATGTTGACGACATGTTACTCGTTGGAAACAGTTTGAAGATGATCAGCACTGTTAAAGGACTGTAGCAAAGCAGTTTGAAATGAAAGATCTAGGCGCTGCAAATGTGATCTTGGATATGCAGATTAAGAGGGAGCGTGACAAAGGAAGATTATGGTTAAGTCAGCGGAAGTATATAGAGGATGTTCTGAAGAAATTCAAGATGACTAACTGCAAGCCTGTGTTGACTCCCATGTCTACTGGTTCTAAGTTATCGGTTGACCAGTGTCCCAAGACTGAAGAAGAAAAAGAGGAGATGGCGTCAGTTCCTTATGCTAGTGCAGTTGGGAGTCTGATGTATGCCATGATTTGTGCTCGACTTGATATTGCTCAAGCAGTGGGAGTATTGAGCAGGTATATGTCCAAGCCAGGAAAGGAGCATTGGACGGCTGTGAAGCGTGTGTTCCGTTATCTTCGTGGTACGTCTGAACTTGGGTTATGCTATGAAGGCGTGAAGGGCTCAAGGGGACAGACATTATTAGAGCTGAGATGCTTTGTGGATACTGATTGGGGAGGTGATATTGATAGTAGAAGGTCTACAAGTGGATATGTTGTTTTTTCATTTGGCGGAGCTATCAGTTGGACGAGTAAGAGGTAGAGCACTATTGCTTTATCTTCTACAGAGGCTGAGTACATTGCCTTGACACATGCTGTTAAGGAGGCTATTTGGTCACGGAGGTTGTGCAAAGAGCTTGGCTTTGCATAAGGAGAAATGATCGTTGGGTGTGACAGTCAAAGCGCCATTTTCTTGGCTAAGAACCCAGGTTTCCATGCGAGGACCAAGCATATCGGAAAACAGTATCACTTCATCAGAGAGAAGATTGAAGACAAGGTTGTATTGCTGGAAAAGGTTGACACAAAGGTCAACAATGTTGATTTTCTGACCAAAGCAGTGACTTCAGAGAAGTTTGAATGGTGTACAGCTGCATTGGGATTGAAGAAACATGCGAAGCATTCACCAAGTGGGAGAATGTTGGGTATGGCTCATACTTCGCTTGTTGATGATGGCCCTAGTTGTCGGGGTCAAGAGAAAGACAACTGGGATCCCGCTCCCAGGTGAGCGGGCGGGGGTCCGGGAGGAAGCGCCCCATGGCCCGTAGAGGCTAGGTACTGTTGTGGGCCTCTATTTTATTGTAATTTTCTTAGCAGTTTGGGCTTGGGCCCATGAATAGCTGTTGTTAGGGTTTTCTAATCCTATTTATATTTTCCTTGTAAACTGAGTGACTAGTAACGAGTGGCGGTGATGTGAATATAGTACAGACAAGCTGGACGTAGCCTAAATTGGGTGAACCAGGGTAAATCGTTGTGTCTATTCTCTCTTTCTCTCTCTTTTTCTTTTCCATTTTCGATTTGTGTGTTGTCGATTTCCAACATAAAGCAGCTTTAAGTTGCATCATAAAATCGAGAGAGCCAGGATAACAGGGACGGCAAAACTCTCCTTTAAAACAGTTTTAAGTTGCACTATAGAAAAATATATATCAATGCAATATATGTCCTATAAGAATTCTATCTGTAAGTAACTGAAATTATAGGCTTAAAACATTCAAAGGAAATGTAAGTAACATTACATGACACATCTTGTGTTATGTAGACACATATTGTGCTTTATAACAGTTCACTGTTCTTTGTTTTTAGACAATAGGCTTTTGCCAGACACTATAAAAAGGAAAACCTAGACACTGAAAAATTCAGTATAGTTCAAAAAGCATAAAATAGTCCATGGGCAAACTTTATATATATATATATATTTATATTCGTGGCAGCTATTATGGACGAAGCTTTCTCAGCAACCACTTTTTTCGCAAAGAGACATCCAAGGCTAAAAACGTCTTTGCCTTTTTTAAATTAACTTGATCCATGTGCTATATTTTTCATGAAGAATAAATACAGTAAGCGCATGTAATATAAATGCAAAGTAGGATTCCTTTTTATAAACATTTAATTTTCAATAAAGAAACCTAAAAGCGGTAATAATTGAAACGGTAATAAAAAAACAGAAGAATAACGTTATGACGAAAATCAAATCAAAATCAAATTTCAATCTTAGATTTAATAAATCCAGCTAATCAACGCAGAATAACAAGTGAGGTTCAAATTCTATAAATTAGGATTACCACTTCATCTCCTCAGAAGTAAACTTTATCTTTCTCTCTACATATCTCTCTCCCTCTCTCTCTCTCTCTGTGTGTGTGTGTACATCTGTTTGCCAAGAATGGATGCTTCTTTCTCAATAGAGACTCTGGTTTTGAATGCTCAACGTGAGGGGATGCTTATGGACGGCGGCGTTTTGGTCTTAGATTCATTCAACCACACCATACAAAGAAGCAATAGACGATCTCGTGCGGAATTGGGTTACAACCAAAACATTCAAAGAAGCAATAGACGATCTCGTCGTGACTTGGGTTACAACCAAAACATGCAAAGAAGCAATATCCGATCTCGTGCTGAGTTGTTTTACAACCAAAACATGCAAAGAAGCAATAGACGATCTCGTCGTGAGTTGGGTTACAACCACAACATGCAAAGAAACAATATCCGATCTCGTGCTGAGTTGTTTTACAACCAAAACATGCAAAGCAGCAATAGACGATCTCGTGGTGAGTTAGGTTACAACCACACTATGCAAAGAAGCAATATCCGATCTCGTGCTGAATTGGGTTACAACCAAAACATGCAAAACAGCAATATCCGATCTCGTCTGGAATTGGGTTACAACCTCAGCATGCTAAACAACGGTAGATATTCTGTTTACCACTTGGATTCGCTGGACTTGGTTTACAACCACAACATGCAGAACAATGTAATAACAGATCAAAGGGGTTATGTCTTTGGTGGTTCTGTAGACTTGGATGGTGGAGTTTCAAGGGTGGATCAGTCCACAACACAAGAATCTTTTCAAAATCTTGAAGAAGTCACGATTGAAGCAGAGTCCTCTTCCATCACAGAAGATTGTTCTATTTGTCTCGGGGAGATTGGGTCAAGAGCAATTGGCTTGCCTTGCTCACACTTGTTTCATCGGGATTGCATCACTAAGTGGCTCACGATTCGCAATACATGTCCTTTATGTAGATGTAGTGTCTTGTCTATGAATTAATGATTAAGTAAACATAACGTACGCTGTTTTTTTGCATTGCATTCTTGTACTTAGTTTCAGAGGTTGTGGCTAGCTTGTCTCTTAATTTTTTGTTTTGTTCTAGTTCAGTTACTTTTCTTTGGGATTTCTTGGAGAGTATTGCTCTGTCCCATGGATTTGTATGGTTTCCTTTTAATTGGCTTTAGAGGTTGTGGTTCTTGTAAAAAATCTTGGTTTTTCTATTGTCAAAATGCAGTATTTGCATCTTTCTTTGTAATATCCTTTTAATTAGTTTTAATCAAGATTTGCTTTCTTTCTTCTTCTTTTTCTTGTATTGCATTTGGAAGAGTTATAAGCTTATGCAAAATCTTCAATCTTGAATCTAAAAAGCCTTCTGTTGTATGTAACGATCGACTGGTGTTTCATCATTTTATACAGATCGATGTTGACACAAAAGATGACATATCACGAACATGATATATTTGTATACAAGGTTAAGAAAGAGATGTTGCTTTTGGCGCTAAAAAATCAAGAGGAAAATAAATATTATAAAAAGTGGAACATATTTTATGAAAATTTTGAAATTTCCCACTGCTAAAGAAATTGATTTTCTTATTGCTAATGTAGCCAGCTATCTAGAGATATTGTCTATAATGGATATTTTATGGAAATCTATTTAAGGAAATTTTGTGTAAAATAATTAATTGATTATAATTGATTTACACAATTTTTCATGAATTGATTTATACAATTAATAATTAATAATAGTAATTATTTACTATATATTAATACAAATGTAAGTTAAATCGATAATGGTTAACTTCTAGAATTATTATCATTAATAATTATAATAATGTATTAATTAAGAATTTTAATAATTTAATACGTGAGGTGATTGAATGTGAGGATACAGATGTTTTATTAAAAGATGTGTTATGGAATATTTCCATATCCTAACCACCTACCCAAGGATCCCTTAAAGGATAATTCTTCAATTATCCTAACAATATAAAACAGTAAGGCAGCTAAGGATAGAGTCTCTATCCCAACAGAAAGGAAGTTAAATCCTACTACAACTGGGAGATCTACACAAGCTCAAGAGGTAACCCTTATAAATAAGAGGTTAAAGACCCCAGGTATAGACTTTTAACCTATTTACTAATACTGCCAACACTGTGCACACACCCACGTCTTGGCTATAAGCCTATTGCTTGTGCGCAGTGATTGGGACATCGGCTATAAGCCAAGTATACATCAGTTTATACAGTATCTCTGAGCGCATACCATACGGTATAGCAATACGGTCTTTTTAGGACCGAACAAGATGAAAGAAATTTTTCTTAAAGGATATGGGCCAATAGATTGCATCTCGCAGGAGGGATATGATATGACACTTGGAATATTATGCCGCGCAATTCAATTTGAATTCTTTGTAAGGGATTTTTTTTCAATACAAAAATTAAAAAAAAAATTAAAAGGTGGAGTCGTAGAGCACACCACATTGTGAAATATGTTCCCAATCACCTTTTTTAGGGTTTTTTTGGAAGGAATTGACCCAGATGGTCAAATAACTGGGGTTCTTAATCTTTACTTTCAAGTTTCAGCAACTGCATTCTTTGACCTGTATGTTTTGTTTATTTATTTATTTATTTTTGCATGGGCACCCACTTCTAGTATCGAGTTATAAAACTAGCTAGGCACTAACAAATTTAGAGGCTATTTCTTCTTGATTATATAGTGTGCTTGGATTAAAGTTTACAAAATTGATTTGACATGCTTAATGTGATTTTTTTTTCTTTTAAGAAAGCAATTATTTGTTACTTCTTTTAAAACCTCAGTTTGAGTTCTAGAATTATGTTTACATTTGTTTCCCAAACAAGATATCCCAGCAATCAGGGCACTTATGCCTCTTTAACATGATTTTGGCTATGTTAGATACCAATCCAAAACACTAAATACACTAAATATTGGGATAAGGGAAAAAAATTCATTGCACTCTTATAAAGTAGCATTTTTTTTAATAAACCATTCAATACCCAATTGTCATTGGGGCGCTGACTAATCTAGATTCGAGCTGGCCAGCACCACAATGATGACAAAACTCTCCTGTAAAGCAGCTTTAAGTTGCATCACAAAATCGAGACAGACACGACAACAGGGACGACAAAACTCTCCTTTAAAACAATTTTAAGTTGCACTGCAGAAAAATATATATCAATGCTACTTCTTATAAGAATTCTACTTGTAAGTAGTAGAAATTATAGGCTTAAAACATTCCAAAGAAATGTAAGTATCATGTTACATGACACATTTTGTGTCATTTAGACACATATTGTGCTTTATAAAAAGGCTTTTGTTTTTAGACAATAGACTTTTGCCAAACACTATAAAAAGGAAAACCTATACACTTTTGAGTATAGTTCAAAAAGCATAAAATAGTATATGTATATATATTCATGCAGCTATTATGGACGAAGTTTTCTCAGCAACCACTTCTTTCGCAAAGAGACATCCAAGGCTAAAAACGTCTTTGCCTTCTTCTCATCTTCCAACAGATCACAAGCATCCATTATCAGCTCCTCATCCATGTCTGGCATGGCTAGAAGTGTACTTAAAGCATTTTCAAATGATTTAATGCTGTTTTCATCTTTCTTATTCATCAATGTTTTGACAGCTCCTTCCTTCTCAGACAAAGCTTCCTGCATTCTCAGGTTCTTTCTGGATGTTTTTTTGGAAGATTCCGAGTCTAAAGGTATCATCATTCCTCTTGGCCTTTTTTCATTACGTTGTGATATTTCAGTGTTGTCAATCACAAAAGAATTTCTGGATGTTCCATTCATATCCATTTCATTTGGTGCTCTTTTATCTTGGTCTAATATTCCCATATTTCCAGTCACAACCAAATTTCCACATGTTCCATCCATATCCATTTCCCTTAACCCTTTAGTACCATGGTCTGTTATTTCAGCATTGCTAAGCACAAGAAAATTTGCATATGTTCCATCCATATCCATTTCAGAGGTAATATCTTCTGCTTCCATACACTGAGGCTGCGCGAAAATCTTGCACAAAGCATTGTAACGAACCAAAGACCTGTTTTTATACAAGATTGCTTCAGGGTGGTCCTGCAAATATCATTTAGCAATGAGTTCCAATCAATAAAATTGTGAGAAAGAGTAACTTAAAACGAAAGTTCCATTTCCACATATCGGAAATGGGGAAGAGAGAGGTGGCTTAAGTTGAGAATTAACTGAAGGACATATGAGGCAACTGCAAGAAAAGGATGTCAAATAAAGGACAATGGAGCAGAAGAAAAACCTTAATGTATGAATCCCAAACACTATTCTGAGCAAGCATGATTTGCAGGTTTTCATCGCATGCATATCCATTATGACTGAAAAGAATGCTCATGTTGTCATGCCGTTTCATCAAGCAGAAATATTGATCTTCTAGTAACTGCTTGTCACATTGGAGCCCAAATTTAGAGCTAAATGCTTCGATCATGTGAGTCCAAGCTTCCTCATTGAATGAATTTCTAGTCTTATTCCCTCTATTTACTTGCTCAACCATAAGGTCAACAAAATAGCATTCCAATGACTCTGTCCACTCTATTGTAGAAGCAGCTTCATAAACACTGGGAACATTGCAATTCCTCCGTTCACCTTTGAATTGTAAATATCCTTATTAATACATAATTAATACAATCTAAGTTTCTCTGAAAAAGACTTGGTTCCCATAAATACCTTCACATTTTAAAAGTATTGAACCTTAAAAGGGGCAACAAATTAATACAATTATGTTAACCAATCTACCAACCTTCATATATTGGTGTTTCAAGGCTGCTGTTGATGTCCTATTTTTTAGGAGTTAATTAGTTGTTTTTTAAATTGATTAGTCTTTTGTTTAGGAGTTTGTTTACTGCATTTTACTGTTATTGCTTTGTTAGTTTGTTGCTGATTTTGTGGACCAACAAAATCAGCTGGTTAGTAGCAACCGCATGAACTCAGTTTTGTATTTAAAAACAAGTTCATTAGTCAGAATAAAAATAAGCTGTTGCACAATATTGTTTCTAATGTTTGTTTTTCTCATAAAAGATCAACATTGGTATCAGAGCCTTCTTGATCTTAAGGGGCTGTGAGTGACTTGAGAAATTAATGGAGGGAGGATCGAGTGGTTTTTCAGCAATGGCTCCACCAATATTCGATGGAGAAAATTATCAAGCATGGGCAGTGAGAATGCAAGCCTATCTAGAGGGTTGCGATTTTTGGGAAGCTGTAGAACAAGATTATGAAGTTGCTCCCCTTCCTGATAATCCAACCATCAATCAGATCAAGTTTCATAAGGAGAGGGTAACAAGAAAAGCAAAGGCAAAGTCTTGTTTATATGCTGCTGTCTCACCTGCCATTTTCAGCAGAATTATGGCTTGTGAATCAGCTCAAGCTATTTGGGACTTCCTCAAAGATGAGTATAAAGGAGATGAGAGGATTAGAAGCATGAAGGGGCTGAATCTAATCACACAATTTGAGAGATTGCAGATGAAGGAGTCTGAAACAATTAAGGAGTATTCTGATAAGTTGGTAAATATTGCAAATCAAGCAAGAGCTCTAGGCACTGACCTCTCTGATAATAGGCTAGTGCAAAAGGTTCTTGTCTCCTTGCCCGAAAGGTTTGAAGCAACCATTGCATCTTTGGAGAATACCAAGGATTTGTCTCAAATCAAGTTGGCAGAATTGCTAAGTGCTCTGCAAGCACAAGAGCAGAGAAGGTTAATGAGGCTTGAAGGAAGTACAGAAGGAGCTTTGCAGGCTAAAGAACAGCATAATGTAAGATGGAAGAAAGGAGATGACAGTAGTGGTTCAGAAGCTGCTGCAGGAGAGAACAATGCAATCAACTCTAAGAACAATTGGGGCGGGCATTCCTCATGTAAGCATTGTGGAAAGCAGAATCACCCACACTTCAGATGTTGGAAGAGGCCAGATGTGAAGTGCAGAAAGTGTCATAGGCTTGGACACATTGAAAGGATCTGCAAAGAAATGGGAGATCAGCAGCAAGGTGAGGCACATGTTGCAGACCAGCATGAGGCAGATCAATTATTTGTTGCCTCTTGTTTCTCCTCTAGTGCTCCATGTGATAGTTGGCTTGTTGATAGTGGTTGCACAAACCACATGACAAGTGATGAAAAGCTATTTAGAGACCTTGACAAGTCATTGCAGTCAAGAGTGAGAATTGGAAATGGAGAGTATCTAGAAGTGAAAGGTAAAGGGACTGTAGCAATAGAGAGCTATGCTGGAACTAAGCTGGTTTCTGGTGTGATGTACGTGCCTGATATTGATCAGAATTTGCTGAGTGTGGGGCAGTTGGTAGAAAAGGGATTTAAAGTGATATTTGAAGAAGGGAAGTGTTTGATCTTTGACTCAAATGGTCAGGAGCTGTTCAGAATAAAGATGCAACAGAAGAGTTTTTCTCTAAATCCCCTTGAGAAGGAGCAAGCGGCATTCAAGTGTCAGGCTAGTGATTCAGAAATATGGCACAAAAGGTTGGGGCATTTTCATTACAAAGGCTTACTATTCATGCAGAAGAATGAAATGGAAACTGGGTTACCAATCCTGGAGGAGCAGATCACAAGGTGCAAAGCTTGTTTTTTGGGCAAACAGACAAGACTTCCTTTCAAAGAATCCACCTGGAGAGCTACAAAGAAGCTACAACTAATTCATACAGATCTTTGTGGTCCTCACGTGAATCCTTCACTAAATGGCAGCAGGTATTTTCTTATCTTCAACATGGAGGAGTGCAAGAGTGTAAGTACTCCAATGGGTCAAAAGGAAAAGTTTCAAAAGAAAAAGATGAATCGGAATCTGCAGATGAAAGAGTTTATAGGAGTTTAATTGGCTGCCTTATGTATCTCACTGCAACTAGGCCAGACATTATGTTTACCGTAAGTGTCTTGTCTAGGTTTCTTAATTGTCCAAGTGAACTGCATATGGTAGCTGCAAAAAGGGTGTTAAGGTACTTGAAAGGTACTCTTTCATATGGAATCAAATTCTGCAGAATTCAGAAGTTTAAGTTGCAAGGGTATTCTGACAGTGACTGGGCTGGATCAGTGGATGATATGAAAAGTACTTCGGGTTATTGTTTTACATTTGGGTCAGCTTGTTTTTCTTGGTGTTCAATGAAGCAGGAAATAGTGGCCCAATCAACTGCAGAAGCTGAGTTCATTGCAGCTACTGCAGCTGTAAACCAAGCATTATGGTTGAAGAAGCTGATGGATGACCTGCATTTGGAGCAAAAAGAAGGCATAGAAGTATTTGTGGATAATCAAGTTGCTCTAGCTATTTCACAGAATCCAGTATTTCATGGAAGAACAAAGCATTTTAAGATCAAGTATTATTTTTTGAGAGAAGTGCAGAAGGCTGGAGAAGTGAAGCTAATGTACTGCAGTTCAGAAAACCAAATTGCAGATATATTCACCAAGTCATTTCATGTTAGTCGATTTGAATTTCACAGGGAGAAGCTAGGAGTGTGCAGCACTTGATCCAGGAGGAGAATGTTGGTGTTTCAAGGCTACTGTTGATGTCCTATTTTTTAGGAGTTAATTAGTTGTTTTTTAAATTGATTAGTCTTTTGTTTAGGAGTTTGTTTACTGCATTTTACTGTTATTGCTTTGTTAGTTTGTTGCTGATTTTGTGGACCAACAAAATCAGCTGGTTAGTAGCAACCGCATGAGCTCAGTTTTGTATTTAAAAACAAGTTCATTAGTCAGAATAAAAATAAGTTGTTGCACAATATTGTTTCTGATGTTTGTTTTTCTCATAAAAGATCAACACTCCGTTCACCTTTGAATTGTAAATATCCTTATTAATACATAATTAATACAATCTAAGTTTCTCTGAAAAAGACTTGGTTCCCATAAATACCTTCACATTTTAAAAGTATTGAACCTTAAAAGGGGCAACAAATTAATACAATTATGTTAACCAATCTACCAGCCCATGTTGTCCAAGATACTTTCATATATTGGTAATTAATGTGGGAAACATACCTGTTTGCAACTTTGGTGATTCAACACCAGAGTTTGCATTATGTGATAGACTGAAGCATATTTTATCAGGACTTTCCTTGTCAAATATAACACACAATTTGCGATAGCCAGGCAAGGTCTTAACTTTGATTGATCCCGCTTCAGGGTGTGCCTGTACAAAATTGTATGTTAACCACAGAACAACCAGACACTTGATAAATTAATGTGCAAAACAGGTTACCTTTATATAAGCATCCCAAACATGATCCGCTGCAACAACCATTTCCGTTATGTCATCCCAGGAAAATCCACTGTGCTGAAGAATATTGAATACATCATAGAACTGTTTCCTCAAATTTTTGTAGCGACTCTTCAGAACATCTTTGTCATATTGAGACTTAAATTGTTTATTGAAAGAGTTAAGTATATCATTCCAAGCCCTGCTAATGAATGTCTGACCAAGTTTATTTCCATTTTTCACCTGCTCTAATAACAAGTCAATGAGGCAACGATCCATTGGAGGTGTCCAATATGTTCTAGTACGATCAGTAACACTTGGGTTACGGTTTCCTTCTCTGTCACCTTCAGATAAGATGAGGTAAATTCTCAGTTCTCCAAAGATCTTATGGCCTCAAATATGAACTGTGTAACATGTCATACGACTTACAAAAATTAATCATCATCCTTTAAAGAAGTGCTGGTAAGAACTTCCTTACATTTTGTTACTTCATGTGTTTGTTGTATGGAAATCTTAAGGACATGTTCTGTATGTGGACATTCTAATTTCCCAAGTACTTGGGAACTTGTATGATACCGGAGTACAAGTTATGTGTAATATTTTAAATCCCTGTATTAATAACACGCATAACTAGCATGGGGATATAACACCCAGATATCATATCATATATATAGTCTTCCAAGTACTTGGCAATATTAGACAGTCCTCTTAATTATTCGACGCCTCCTAAATTCCAAGTATCTTCTTGGAAACCTAATTAAGTCTAAGATATATGGAAATTCAAGACCCCTTATGACAATTGAAAAAAGGGCATGTTGGATTTCCATATATTTCATAACCAGATATCTTATGCCTAGATATTTGATATAATTGGGAGTAGGGAATTTATAATTCTTACGTATCAAATGCCTTCACTTTCTTTTCATGCAGCAAAAGATCCGGTGAACATTTAAAGTGAGGATTACAGAAGATAAAAAAAACATGCACAACTAATTTAAAAGTACCATTTCTTTGATGTTTCTGTATTCAACTACAGCCACAGACAAAGTATACTTGTTAATTTTCCATTGGTGTTGCCGTGACCATTATAGACAAGTTGTTAATTTTCTCAAAATCATGCATGACAATAACATAATAACTTGAAGTAGATAGCAGAAAGCTGTTAGTTGCAGTATACTGACCAGCCTTTATTACTGATGCTACATCTCCGTAGTATTTCTCCGGATACAAATCACTGAATTCAAGATCAGACAAATTTCTGAATATTAATTCCAAATCTTGATAGTTTGGAAAAGTCTTCAATCTATACCATCGTGCATGTGGATGTTGCTACAAGAAGATAATTTAAGTCAGTCAGCCACAAGAAACATGGATACGAGCATATACACACAGTCTCTTCAAGATCACAAATACCTTGACATAAGCATCCCATACATCATCATCAGCTGCAAGCATTTGTTGTTGTGTATCCCATGAAAAGCCTGGTGTTTTTAGAATCTTTGTTATAACAAAGTAATATTTCATAAGTTTCCTGAATCGATGCCTTAAAATCCGTTTAGTATGTTGAGGGCCAAACTTAGCATTAAACATGGCTAGCATTTCTGTCCAAGCCTTTCTATTGAATTCATTATTCACTGTATTGCCTCGGTCCAACTGGTCAAGCAAAAGCTCTATGAAATATTGGTCCATGGCAGCAGTCCATTCTGTCCTTGGACGCTCATTACATGATCGAACAAGGCTTCCCCTTCCATTACCTACAAATACATAATATATATTTAATGATACCTTCTAGTATTATTGGGAAAATAATTTTCTTGCAAAGTTTCATTAACCACCAGAAAAACAACATCACTGCACTATATGGAGGCAATTATTTCATTTTATAAGGAAGGGCTCTATACGAAAAACAATATTTTCTAATATGCTGCATTTATATTAAGAGCTTTCAGCCTTTCAGTTCTCAAAAACAGTAAGCATATGAACATTTATGAAGTTTGTATCAAATGCATTACATTCAGAATAAAAGGGAGGGATGACATTCATGTACTTTGCAAACATTTTTTGAACTACTATTTTGAGGAAGATTACAGATTGTCTGATTCTAATTTATTTTCAACTACAAAGTTTATTATATGCATACATAAGCTTCCCACTATTATAGTATGAAAGCAGCTAATGAAAGTAATACTCACCAAAATTCAATCCCTGCCCTTCATTATCAAAGCTTGTGTCATGGCTTGATAAACTATATCTTCCATCAGCAGTTGTGTAGCCAAATATCTCACACAAATCATCAAAATTCAGCACTGATTTGGTTCGATAGCATCGTGCTTCGGGGTGAGCCTGCATGTTATTCACAATTATAAGATACACATTTTGATGAAATAAATACATAGGCAAAATATTTCTGCTTCAACTAAAAAAAAAAAATTCTGTCACACTCACGTAAAAATAAATGGATCTCACAAATTTTATCCACTCATTTTTACGTGAGTGTGGTAAAAAAATTTGTCCGCAGCAATATCAGAAATATTAAATCCTAAATACATATGCAATAATGCAGCCATACAGCGAACCTCAATGTAAGCATTCCAAACACATTCATCAGCCACCACCATTTGACAATCATCATCCCAAGAAAACTCATAGTGAGAAAGAATGTTCTTTACATCGTTGAATTGCTTCCATAAATTTGCATAACGAGTTTTCAAAACATCTTTGTCACATTGAGATCCAAATTTTGCATTGAACATGGTCTGCATGTCTGTCCATGCTTGCTTGTTAAAAGTGTGGCCAACTCTATTTCCTCTGTCCAATTGCTCTAACATAAGATCAATAAAATAGCGGTCCATTAATGGACTCCAATATGTCCTCGATCGATCATTCATTGTAGCAGTTTGGCTACCCATTACTCCTTAGAAAACACAAATGTTGTATGTTAGGAGTGAATAAGGAAATGCATATACCATATATGAAATCTATGTTAGTGACTGCTGCTTCTAGAAAAAATCATAGCAGGGCAAAAAATATAATGAAGATTTTGAATTGGGATACTGGTAACTTATTTTATCCAGTGAGATGCTCATCATAGTAATAAGATCAATTTTAAACAGAGAAAAAAATCATTTTGTTTTAATACTTATTAATGAGGATACCATCTAGTTGGGAAAACGATAGCATATATCATCAATCAACAAATAATATATCATTAACTTAAATATTTCTGAACATTACAAATAAAAAATAAAATAAAAATTGACATGATGCAAATTCATAACAACCTAGGAAGCACAAACATTGACCCAGAGAGGACACAGGGACACACCAAAATCTAAAAATTGTAGGACACAGAAAAGGCATATGTATAATTGAAAATCGGTAATATATCTCTCAAGAAAAAATAATTCTCATGCTGAAACAATAAAAGTACGGGGCTCACCTTTTTCTCTTTCCTGTATTGTGGGACCCATTCCTTTATTGTTTCGGTCGGAGAAAAAATGTTCAGAAATATATTATCCATTGAAAATTTAAGAAAAAATTCCTAATTGATAACATATATATGTATATATCATATGCCAAAATGAAATGAAAAAGTTTTAGGAAATGAAATTCGTACGTGACAAAAGTATCGCTACCTTATTTTCTTTTATCATTAAAAATTGGTTTCAAAGTTTAAAACTGATCCAATCTCTTTATTTATTTATTTTTATTTTTTTTTCAAATTTTAAGGTGGATGTAACTCTGCTGCGTCACGCTGAGTCATAGCCATGTCAGAACTGCAAAAAATGATGTGTTTAAAATGGGCGTAACATGTTTGCTTCTGAAGCTAATCACTAAATCTAAAATTCATTTGGGTATCTAAAACATAATCAATCAAACCAGTTTCGATTTTGTTTTTATTCAGAGGAATCACTTGCACTTGATAGAACCAAAATTCTCAGAATTTTCAATGTAACCAAAAAAAAAAAAAAAGCATCCATCTTTAATCATTACACAATGCAAAAGTGCAAAATTTGAAATCTAAAATGACATAGACCCAGTAAGCCAAATTGAGAAAAAGAAATAAACTAGCTTGAAATTTGCACTTTAAAAAACAAAAAAGATAAAAAAAAGTTGAGAACTTTTACCAGTGGGTCTGTGTAGTGACTAGTGAATAGGGAGATGATGGTGATTGGTTTGGTGTCAGTGGTTAGCACTATCACCGTGAGAATCTTGAGTTTCCCTAATCCGGAATAAGGAGTAGAACCCTAGCATAGCACTGCTCCCTTTCTGTTTGGTTATAGGTACAACGCAATTGCAATTGAAACCTTCATTCTTTTTCTTTCTTCCTCACTCTTTCAACTTTTTGCCTCCCTCTCAGTCTCTTTATACATGCAACTCAAACAAATTACGTTACATTTCGATTTTGATTTTTCTGTTCTTTTATACATAAAATATGCCAACATTTAATGATAGCTTATATTTTTTTAACTAGATACAAAGAATTTTGATGAGTTGTTGCATATTTATTCAGTACTATAATAGATATTTAAACTCACCTTATAATAAACAACTAATAAATACTCAGCAAGGTACTAAATATTCAAAAGTAATGATTAAATAAATATACAATTAGGACTTTCAATTCGGGTAATAAATCTAAAGGAGATTCTGACTTACTATTGGAGTTTTGGTATGACCGTCTTTTTTTTATAAGCAATTAAAGGGTTAAAAGTTTATTTTTTTTAAAAGAAGTAACTTATGTGCTTTTAGTCATTTATAATTATGTATTAAAAGTAATACATAGTTATAATATTAACATTATGTTCATGTTAGCAAATAGCGTATGAAAATAGAGAAAAAAATATAACTTTAATATTATAATTGTATATTACCCTTAATACATAATTATAAATTATTAAAAGAACATAAGTTATATCGACAAATTGTTTCCCTTCAATTAAATCAAGGGTAATAGAAGTATCATATAACAGGATATTTGTTGCATCATGTCACAGACACAATATTAGTGAGGTCCACCAATATATATATATATATATATATATATTTAAAAAAACAACTTAATAAAAAAATATGCATATGTCTGTAGGAACGGGGTCTGTAACTAGGGGTGTTCATCAACCTATCCAAACCGATTCAAACCGCGGTGACCGAACCGAAAAATCGATAACTGAATAAGCCGAAAACCGAAAAAACGAAAACTGATTAAAAACCGCAAATTTTAATTGGATTAGATCGGTTTTTGGATGGGTTGATGAAAACCGATCCAATCCAAACCGATCCAATATATTAATTTCCCTCTACCTACTTGGGTATTTTCTTAATCCTAGCTTAAAAATTTCTACACCCAAGACCCATTAACCTATCAACTAAACCCAAGAAAAAATCTAGTTATATCTCATCAACAAAATTTTATCTTTGTAGAGCTTCATATCTCATTGCCAAAATTAAAAAAATTATATTATAGTTTACTAATGCTTTTGTATTTCAAAAAAAAAAATTACAAAGCCAATATATACAAAAGATATTATTTGCAAAATAATTATGAAATAAATTTTAGGATTTTCAAAAAACCGAAAATCGATCCAATCCAAACCGAAAAAAATTGGATTGGATCGGATCGGATTTGAAAAAAATCAAAACCGAATGGATGATTATATGATCAAACCGAAGGGATTGGATCGGATGATTTTTGCTTCCAAAACCGATCCAATCCAGACCGCGAACACCCCTATCTGTAACAGGACTATCGCAAAACCCTTAAATCAAACAAATGAAAGTTGTTGTATTAACAGTGTTTTTTTTTTTTTTTGGTAAATGTATTAACAGTGTTTAAATAAGCTAGTTATGTACCCAAAAAAAACTAGTTAGTCGCCGGTACATTATATATATGGGATTTGTATTTATCATTTAACATGACACAAGAAAGTTTCCTACACACAACATTTTGTGGAACTCACACTTTTTGAAGCAAAAAAGAAAAAGAAAAAAACTACTGCACGCAAAACGAATCTCTATAACATTACACAATTATTTTTCCTACAACATAACTCTTATAAAACCCTATATATATATATATATATATATATATATATATATATATATACTAGTTTAAGAGAGTAAGAAAGAGAGAGAAGGAAAACGAGAGAGAAAGAAAGGAAAGAAAAAAAAGGGAAGGTGAAAGAAATTGAAAGGTAATTGTAAAGAATAAATTCAACCCAAAAACTTAAGTTGTTAGGTGAGGCTACACTAATGGTTTTATATATCTCTAACAGTAATATTGGGAGAGAACCTCATTCTCCTAGTTTCAATCTTCTTCATCTATTTCTATATTTAAAGTTAGTATTTTGAAAGTTATTTCTTTAAAAGTTATGAATGTGTTGTTACTCTGGCGAACCATTTTCTTATGAATCTCTTTTACTCTTTTGATTTATCTTTTATCTTTGGTTTTATCTTCTACCATTGCCTTTGTCTTCTAAACTTTGGTTGTGGATTTGATGGATATGCTCATATTGAATGATGTTGAAGCAAGACTATGGACTAATTAATTGGTATTCCTTTGGTGTCAGATGAATATTAATGGAATATGTAATCTTTAACAGAATGATTCTGATGTGAACTGACCAACAAACGTTTGGATTCAGATGAAAATATAGTAAGAGACACCTTACTTGGCTTGAGCTCTGCAATTAGAACTTTTCACATGCAGAAACCAGAGATGTTTGGGCTTAGTAGTTTCAGTTAAACATTACACGTTCTTTTCTGAGTTTATTGTTCCTGCTATTGTTTTCTTATTGTAAACATGTTTTGAGAGAATGATATTTTTAATTAAAGCGGTTGAAGCTGGACTAACTATAGTTTGAAAATTCCAATAATATTGAGATTTATCTCACGTGTATTTATGTTTATGCTAACATTTCCAGAAAGAAAGCATGTGTAACACCTCGTGTTAACCCGGTTGTTAACATGTCATCGTATTAAGCCACGCTTAATAAATTTTTTTGCAAAATATCTTTTTCTGTTCAATTATGACGTCATTATCCTTACCAAGTTGAAATACTTAATTCATTTCCAAAACATTGCCTGTATGTAAATTGCAAAACAACAGCTAACTGAAATACCTCATATATAAAATGTGTATCTACTCACGGATCTACAACACGTAGTCCGGAGAATATCCTGATAGTTAATACAAAGCCAATCAAAGTAAACAAACATAAGCAGTGTGGCATGGACAAGCCCCATGCTCACCAAATAAGGCAACAATGCCCAACAGCAGTCTCAAATCAAATAACATGACAGTAAAGATAAAGCAATGTCAGCATCCAGCAAAATCATCATAATAGCATGCAATCAGCTAAGCTCCGGCCTCCTGCCGCTAGAGGTCTCAACCCCCGCATTACCTGAACCTGAAATGGTGCCCCAAACGTGGGGTGAGATCTCTAAACAGAAATCTCAGTAAGACAAGGGGTCCTCAAGGATCTTCCACCCCAAGCTCACTTACATGTGCAATATAAGTTCCAAAAGCAGTAATTCAATATCAGTTCTAAAATCAGTGCAATGCAGCAGATAATCATGTCATGTGTGTTATAACTATTCTACTGATCAGAGAAGTGAAGGAATACGTCTATTACCCACACAGTACCAGCCCATGCTATACCCGCCCCCAGGACCACCCCATGGCTTCCTGGCAGGCGAAACACCACATACATATCATAAGCATTTTGCACTTAACAGCTCCATAGCATTTCAACAAAACAGTACATGAAAACACATCATGCATATAAACCATCCCTCCATGGGACATGGTGGAACAAACAATGGCTAAGCCGAGGACACGAAAGCTTACCTTGCAAGCTAGCTATCCAAGCCAAGAGTCCACACAAGCTCAAAGTCCAAACACAACAGAATCACAATCTGCTTTGGACCAATCATCATATCAATAACCATACTTAACAATTATACGACATAAAGACAACACCTTTCCTTACGTTTCATGTCTTAAGGCTTTTCACAAAGCCACAAGCCCTTAATCACTTGATTCTGACTTAAATAAGTTATTACAGAAGTTCAACTTCCACAATCTAGGGTCCACAAACCCATAACTCAATTCTGTATGAACAGTACCGTTACTGTTCCTCGAAAACCCAGAATATCCAGCTATATGTCGGGGGCATATCCGGATATCAATATCCGGATATCTGTTTAGCAATATCCGGATATCCATGTCCAGATTATTTCACGACAGAATGTAGTTCTGTATTTCGTGAGATATCAATCCAAAGGTGGTTCTTTTCACGATTCCAGAGGCTTAAACATGCATTTTTAATCCCTTTTAAGTTCATATACAGGTTGGTTACTTGTTTAACTCATTAACTTGCCAAGACTCAACCTTTAAACCAAGAAAACTCATGATCAAGTTAGGTGAACTTACCCAAGGCTCAAAACAGCAAACCAAAGGTGCTCTTGGAGCTCACAAGTCAGCTCCAAGGTACTGACTTCAAGGGTGCACGAAAATGACACCCAAGCAAGAACCTTTCTCTTCAAAGACCACACCTTGAAGCTCCCACAACCAAGGAAAAGGCTCTCAACACTCACACAAAGAAACTCAGCCCTCAAACTCTTCCCAACAGTGGCACAAACTCAGAAACAAGGTCCTCTTACTCACACAAGGTAGCTCACACCAAGATATGTTAATCAAGAGAAGGAACAATGATCAAAGGTGGTGTCTTTGGTGAGAAAATGAAGAAGGAAGAGAGTGACAAGGTGGCTGGTCAGAAGGCTTCAGAAATTTCAACGATGGAGGCACAAAATAGACCTAGGATCATGTGCCACTAGGTATATATAGTCACTTAAGTCTTAATCGCACTGTATTAGCGCTAAATGCTACGCTTAGCATTTTAATCCCAAACTTAGGATTCTGAACCTACTTAATTTTACAAGATTTATCATATTTTTATTTTATTTTTCGCAGCACCTTTCTGATACGCTCTTTTCCATAGCCAGTATCAGTTCTGGCACCAGTTCTCATTATTTTAGCTTGAAACTTGACATACTAATCCTATATATTATTCTAGTGACATATACACACTTCTCATAATTTTTTGGTGTACTTCACCGGTACACATTTATACCGAGTAGCAGAACCGGTATCTGCACTTTTCGTCAGAAAAGTGACTTTCAGTATCATTAATTACTTATCATAATTATTAAAACCTTATAATAATTACTAGGGTCAGTTATGAAATTATTTCCTAATTTCTCATAATTAATTAATTAACTTCCTTAATTAACGATGTGGGTTCTTACAACATGCCTAGTCTATGCTTTGATGGGTGAAAAGGTAGGGAATAATAATCTACTTTTATGAAGATCATACAGATGCTTGGTGAAGAAGGAGTGGATGCTATTTTCTACCCAAACAGAATAGAAAATTTTATAAACAGAGCGGACTAAGTGGGACTTAATAAATACACTTACTTATGGGTCCCATATAGTTTAGATGTTTCTACATTTGCTGATGATGTAATCTAGTCTAATCTAGATGTACTAGTGAACTGGGCTTCATGTCTATTGTATAATTAAACTTTAAAGGTATTATGACATATGTCTTTTTCTATAGCCGTTGTTTTAAAATCTTATATTCCTATTCTTTCATTTGAGATATGATTTAAGAAGTAATGTGATATTCTCTATGCTATCTAATTATGTAGGGTGTTACAACATGCATCATTGAGATGAGATTTTTAGACCCTCGTTATAGAGAATCTCACTTTCCTGCATATCAGATCTCACACCTAACATATCATATGAGTGTGCTTATCTCACACATTGTGGGGCCACAAAGACAAAACAACTATAACTTATCATTGGTGAATCTTCCCATTTATTATTAATCCTCTTCAGCCATTGAAAATATAAATTTTACACATTATTTCCAGAGTTGTTATGCTAAATAATTCTCATCACATAGCTGCTGAGCACAACATATTGTCCTTGATTCTTATCCTTTGCTTGAGACATTACTTACAATGACTCCATATTGAACTTAGGTTAATTCTGTTAGAAAATTATATTTCCTAATGTGTTTGTGGGCTATATATTGTATTAATAATTATATTGTACTATTTAATATATATATTGGGTAAATTAAAGTGATCAAATAAAGATGCCTAAATAGATTCCTAAGTAAGTGTGAGACAAATGGTTGGATATCAATGTTGGACTAACTAGGTATAATTGGAGCTTACTAGCCAAACAATAAAGAAAACACTATAAAGGGTTATGGTCTCCAATATGTCAAAATAACAATCCTAGCTTATCTTCCCCATCAAGAAAGAGACAACACACTAAAGAATAAGGAGTAGGGTTATTTGATAAGAAAGATCACATACCCCAAAGGCGAAGATCGAAGTTATTCTGCTGCTATGGAGACAGGTATGCCTCCATCTTTCTGTTAATATTCCTTTATGATTTGGTATGATGGATCTTGGTTTGTTGGTGATGGTTATCACTAAAAGGTTAAGAGGAATTATTATTCCAACAATTGGCATCAGAGCTATCATCATATTGAATCATGAGGGAATTAAGTTTTGTGATTTTTATATATGGTGAATCATGAAAAGTTTTGCTTTATTGTCTTTTGGCATAAAGTTTATTGTTTTTTAACGGGGGTACATCTCATGTATTTTGTATTAGCTATGTAGTGGTCATGTATTTTGTATTAGCTATGTAGTGGTATTTTTGTTCCTTGACGGTAATTTTTTGGTTTTGGAACAAAAGTTACAATCTTTTGAAAATCTAGGATTCGCAGTTTAATAAGGATTTATTATTTAAACTTTTTTTTTTGTAAATATTATTTAAACTTTTGAATATGCATAAAGATGTATTGTTTGAAATTTTTTGGCTTTATAATTGATGAGCGTTTGTTGTTTGAATTGAGAATTTGAATGAACAATGAATTCTCTTAGAAAATTTTGGACTTATAGTTTGAAAGATATCAAATGTTTAAGTTCTTTGATTCTGTGGTCTTCTTAGATTTGATATTCTTTTTCAAAAGCCAAATTTAAATTTTTTTTTTTTGGTATTGTGCATCATTTTCAAGCTTTTATTTGAAAAGGCTTACCTGTGCATCGATTGTGCATCATTTTTAAGCCTTATAACGAAAAAGGTACTTATTGTTATTGGTATAATGATATAATATGTATGTATGTATGTATGTACATTGAGGATTGATAAAGAATAATTTTCTTTATTTTTGTTATTTTATTTTTAAATGGGTATATTGACCCTAAAGATTTCTATTTGAAATTAAATATGATAGATTTGTTAGCTGCCAAAGTGGCCAGATTTATAAAGGTTAATTTGATTTCAAATAGGTTGATCATATAAGTATATATTATTTCTGCGAATAATTATCGGCCCAAAGGAAAGTAGTTGTTTGGCCAAATAATATATGCTCTATGATCATATGTGTGTTTGTTGCTTATGCGGCTAACAATCGGCCCAAAGGAAGGTTATTATTTGGCCAAGTAATGGACATACCTATGGTAATAAGTATTTGACAATTATTAAGGCTTCACCATGTGAGTCATAGTCGGCCCAAAGGAAGGCTATGGTTTGACAGGACTTATTGTTAATGTTTGATTACTGCATTGAGAGTACCACTTACAAGTTGATATTTTTGTCCAAAGACTGAATGTCAATGTTGTGTTAGGTATCTTGTAAATAAACTCATTTGACTTCAGATTATTTGTCAATATCATATATGTAATATCACTATGATGGTGTTTAAATATATACATGATATGACTGTTATGAGTATGTTATCTTATTTTGTTCTCTATACGGTTTCTGCTACTTCTGCTAACTTTGTTGCTCAAGTGAATATGATTTCCATGCTTAATGGGTCGAATTTCAAGCTGTGGAAAGAGCATGTGGAAATTTTTTGCGGCTGTATGGATTTATACAATGCGCTAAGGTTTGAGAAACCTACTTCTACTCCAAAAAATCCAAATACGGATAAGGTTGAGAAGTGGGAACGCTCAAATCGCATGTATCTGATGATCATGAAATGCTCCGTTCCGAAGGCGTTTAGGGGCTCGATAGTTGAGACTACTGATGCCAAGATGTTTTTGAAGGAACTCGAGCAATACTTTGCTCGAAATGAAAAGGCTGAAATTGGTCAAACCTTGTCCAACCTCATTAATATGAGGTATAATGGAAAGAGAAACATAAGGGAGTACATTATGGAAATGTCTAACCTTGCTGGAAAACTAGAGGCATTAAAGTTAGAGCTGCCATGTGAGTTGCTCATGTACTTAGTTATAATATCTCTTCCTTCACAATATGGTCAATTTGTAGTGAGTTACAATACCTAGAAGGACAAATGAACTCTTAATGAGCTCGTTGCTCACTGTGTGCAAAAGGAAGAAAGGCTTCAGCGAGAAAAGACTAATAGTGCTCACTTGGCATCAACCTCTCAAAATAAGAGAAAGAAGAGAGCTCGGAACATTGTAGATGAACCACTTATGCTAAAGAAGCAAAAGAAATAGGATACGATATTTACTTATTATTTTTTGTGCAGAGAAGAAATTGGACTCTTAGAGACATGGTGAGGAGAGGAGTATGTGTAGTCATTCTTCATTACCAGAATCACTTTAGGGAGAAGCACTAAAGACTGTATTTTATATCCTTAACAGGGTCCCTAGCAAAGCAGTGACAAAAACCCTTATGAGCTATGGACTGGGAAGAAACCTAGCATAAGGCATTTACACATTTGGGGTTGTCCAGCTGGAGCAAGGCCTTATAGGCCAAATGAAAAATAGTTGGACTCAAGAACAATCAGCTGTTATTTTGTTGGATATGTTGAACGCTCTCGAAGCTTTAATTTTTATAATCCCACCACAAGATCTTTTTTTGAGACGGGAAATGCCAGATTCCTTGAGGATGTTGAGTTTGGGGGGGGGGGGGAGATAAAGTAAGGAATGTTGCCTTTGATGATGAAGAAAATTATATTTCTCTTCCTAATATTGCCGTCATTCAAGATGCAATTTTGACACAAACAATTAATGACCAGGTACCTGTTCATGACATTGTTATGGAACATGCTTCGATTCCTGACATTACTTTGGTTCAAGACAACAATGAACCACCTCCTTTGCCACATGAAGAACAAACTCAACAAATTCAAGAAGTTCCAGTAAGGAGATCCATTAGAGAAAGGAGAAACGCAAATCCAGATGATTATATTGTATTTCTTCAATAGCATGAAAATATTTTAAGCTTAAAGGAAGATGATCCAATCAACTTTCAACAAGTCTTAGAAAGCTCTGAGCTCATAAATGGATTGATGCCATGAAAGATGAGATGAAGTCTATGAAAGATAATGACATTTGGGATCTTGTCAAGTTACCTAAAGGTGCAAAATCCATTGGTTGTAAATGGATATTTCAAACCAAAAGGGATTCTAAGGGCAACATCGAAAGATATACGACACGTCTATTTGCTAGAGGTTTCACGCAAAAGGAAGGCATAGACTATAAAGAGACCTTCTCTCCAGTTTCTACGAAGGAATCTTTTAGGACCATAATGGTAAGCTTGAGATGAAGGAAATGACAAAGGTACCTTATGCTTAGGCAATAGGAAGCCTTATGTATGCCTAGGTTTGTACTTGCCCTGATATAGCATTTATAGTGGGAGTATTAGGTAGATACTTGAGCAATCCATGAGTGGATCATTGGGAAGCAGCCAAGAGGGTTATGCGGTATTTAAAGAGAATAAAAGATTACATGCTCACATATCGGAGGTCAGATGAATTAGAGATCCTTGGGTATTCTGACTCTAATTTTTCTGGATGCCAAGACAGTAAAAGATCCACGTTAGGTTATGTCTACATGTTAACAGGAGGAACTATTTCTTGGAAGAGTGTTAAACAGAAACTTGTAGCTTCCTATACTATGGTCGCTGAATTTGTAGCTTGTTTTAAGGCATCCAACCATGGGGTATGGCTGCGAAATTTTGTCATAGGGCTGCGTATAGTAGGTGATGTTGAAAAGCCACTAAATATTTATTGTGACAATAAGTAAGTAGTGTTGTACTCCAACAATAACATAAGCTCTTCAAAATTGAAGCATATCGATATAAAGTTTCTGGTTGTTAAAGACAGAGTTCAGAGTGATCAGATTTTCATAGAACACATAGGGACGAACTCCTTGCTTGCGGATCCACTTACTAAAGGCTTAGTGCTTAAGGTCTTTCACGAGCAGACTGCTCATATGGGTGTTGTTTTGTTTGATGACACTATGGTTTAGTGAGAGTTCTTTATGTTGGTGTTCTATGTAAAAACATTTATATGTTTATTTTCTACAGAATAAAGATTTTGATGTTATTTTCCCTTAGAATGGGTATATTTTGTGCTTGTGTTTCTGCTTTGTGTATGCAGAAAATTAAGGATTGATCTCATAAGAACTAAAGTAGGACCAATTGGAAATAGGCATGGTAGAGATCACATTGCATGTAATTTCCATGCCACTCATCTATACTTGATCTATGTCATTGAATATATTGGTGTGATGACCATGGAAGGTTTAGTTATGCTTGACAGTGACAAAAGCCACCATGATCTCATATTAATATAGGTGATGAACTGAATTATATATGAGGTGGAATCTAAGGATAAATAGCATGCAGTTGCGCACTAAGGATATGTGATATAATTATCTCAGGTCAATGTGTAGTGCAAGTGAGAGATTGTTAAAAAATTATATTTTTTAATATATTTGTGGGCTACATATTGTATTTATAATTATAGTATGCTATTTAATATATGGCTTTAATATTTCTAAAGTGAATGTAGATAAGGTATCTACATTCGCTCCCAAAACGACGTCGTTTTGGGTTGAGAAATTAAAAAATTATAATGAAAAGGACTATTATAACCCTGAAATAAATTGTAATTACAAAAATACCTTGATTTCTGCCTCAAAATGACGTCGTTTTGGGCTCACTGTAGATAAGTTATCTACATTGACTATAGAAAAAACGAACCCTTAATATATATTGGGTAAATTAAAGTGATCAAATAAAGATACCCAAATAGATTCCTAAGTAAGTGTGGGACAAATGAGTGGATACCAGTGTTGGACCAACTAGGTATAATGAGAGCTTACTAACCCCACAATAAAGAAAACACTATAAAGGATTATGGTTCCCAATATGTCATAATAACAACCCTAGTATCTCTTCACCATCAAGAGAGAGACAACACACTACAGAATAAAGATTAGGGTTATTTGAGTGAGAAAGATCGCATATCCCAAAGGTGAAGATCGAAGTTATTCCGCTGTTATGGAGACAGACAGGTATGCCTCTATCTTTCTATTTATATTCCTTTATGATTTGATATGATGGATCTTGATTTGTTGGTGATGATTATCACCATAAGATTAAGACTTAAGAGAAATTATTATTCCAACAAATTCATCTACCTCATATCACTATTACGTACATTGAGTTACTACACCCCATAAAAAGAACATATACTATTCCGTCGCTCAAAGAGTTCACTTATGTACTTGAGTGATGTGCATATTCCATTCTATGAAAAGCTCAACATAATTTTTTTAAAAATCTATATCCAAATATGTATTGAGACAAGCTAAAAATAATTATTTGTTGATATATGGTGATTAATTTTCAATCTTTTGGATACTTGCCTCGGAGTCGGAGATGCTTTTGTGGTGTAATTTTCATTTTAGGTTATTATAGAGTTATTGCGTTTTGTACAATATTTAGTTTTAATTTTTATTGAGAATGATTTTTTATTTCTCATTAAAGATATTTGTGTTATTTGCATTAATTTTAATTTCATTTCATACTGAATCTCATACACTAAATTATGAAATAGGAAAAGGATTTTCATCACAGTTTATTAACGTGACGTGATAGCCTTAATAAAAATAATAATAACACGAATAAATAGATCTTTATTTTCATAATAAAATTATGAAATAGTAGTTGAAAACGAAAGCAACAAATAATAAATGAGCAATTAATAATTAACAAATGTACATTGAATGAAATAAAAAAAATCAATATTTATTGCATGCATATAGTAATGTCGTTATTGATTCTATAAAACGCCTTTGACTTATCGACTATTTCATGTAATATGCATTTATTAATATTATTAATTGCTCATTTTTAATAAGATTTCTAATGAATGTAATTAGAATTAATTACATTTTTATTTTTATAAAAATTTCTAGACTTATTAAGTCCAAGATTTAATTAGACATTCTTATCTTTTTTTTGGGTACTGGTTGTAGAACTATTTTGGTTTTAAAAGTCATTTTGATTTTTTTAAAATAAAAAAGAGATTTTATTACGTTTTCTTGGTTTTGGATGATTGTTTTAAAAAAGAAAATTGAAGCACTAAAACGAGGTACAATTTTATGTTTCTAAAAGTTAACTTTTCAAATTAAAAGTTATTCAAACATTAAAAAAATTACTTCTCGCTACCTGAAAAAAAAAAATACTTCTCAAATTTCATATATAAACATAATATATATATATAATTTTTTTTTACTTTTTAAAAAAAAAATTATAAAGAAACACAGAAATATTTTTTCTTTAGAACTCATCCCAATGAGTCCTAATATTACAATTACAAATTACTAGAGGTTATATTTCAATTACAAATTATTAATGATTATATTTCAATTACAAATTATTATGATTATACTTCAAGTACTGGTGACAACGATATGAAAGAATGAAGTATGAACACGAAAACTTTAATTTTCCGTTGACTTCGCTATAACTAGCTTGGAGCGTGGTCCATTTTGAGTCTTCGTCCTAGTTGGTTGCTGTACTAGGTCAAGCTGGTTATGCTATGCGGCACAAGAACATTGATTTTGAACGAACAAATATTCTTCAGAACACCTATTCTCTTTCACATTTAATTTGTGTCTTGTCAATATTTTTATTATTAATAATCGTTAACACATGAAAATAAGGAGAAATAGTAATAGCTTACAAGTTGGTATATATATATATATATATATATATATATATATATATATATATATATATATATATAACTCACGTTGAATGCTACAGTACAAGAGAAATATCCTACATCGGAGTGTACCTAATAATTATCTAAGAATGTCTCTCTTTTGAATGGGATGTCCGGTGGTAAACTATGTAGTTGTTATGACGAATCTAAGTGAAAGGTAAGGGAATGGACCTTAATATCATGCATTGCATTGCACCTATTATTATTTAATTAAATCAAAGATTTTAAACTTGAGAAAAATTACATTTTTTATGTCTTCAATTAAAACACAATTAAAATCTCTCAAACATTTTAATCATTATTATAAAGTATAAAACATGCTAATGTAAACATCGGAGTTTTTTTATTTTTTTGGTAGTTAAACACGGATTTTTTAATTGCATCTTTGGTATTTGTTAGATAACAATATAAAAGCATTAAAAAGCGCTTATCAATATTACAGAGTGAATACAAGTGTAAGTTTTTATACGATTTTTTTTTTTCTCTTCACTTCCAGTCATCCAATATCAAAGCTTTAAATGAGTCATACTATATGTGTGAAACCTCAACAAAAAGGGGATTGTGGGGTGTTCTAAATAAATACAAAATTGAAATAATTTTTATAATTAAGAATTAAGTCATTTCCAAAAAATGAATTAAATAATCAAGTAATATTTAAATAATCAAGTAATATATATATATATATATATATATATATATATATATATATATATATATATTCGTTACAGGGTTTCACTCTCAATCTTATCTTATTTCTATTTATATCTAACAGTAGTAACTTATTAGATATTTGAGTTGTTAGATTCAAGCAAATCAGTTATCAAGATTTGGTAAAAGACTTATTATTTTTATACCGGTGTAAGAATATCCTATCCCATATATGGGCAGGATCAACTTACACCAGTAGTACAAAAATAATAAGTCTTATATCAAATCTTAATTATGATTTCTGTAAATCTAAAAGTTGTGATTTATTGGGTTGCACTTATTAATTAATTAATTTTTATAAAATCACACACACACACACACAACACACACAGTCAGGATCATTTTACACCAGTGTAACTTACTTTTTTAGTAACGTGAGCCACTGGATACAAGTGGATCAATGATCAAGATTGAATGTAAGACTTCTAACTCTTACACCGGTGTAAGAATATCTTGCCCAATATATATATATATATATATATATATATATATATATATATATATATGGGTCAGGATCATTTTACATCAGTGTAAGTTACACTCTTAATCTTGTCCGTTAATCCCACTTATATCTAAGGGCTCAAATTTTTTAGTAATGTGAGCCATTGGATACAAGTGGATAAATGGTTAAGATTGAGTGTAAGACTTCTAACTCTTACACCGGTGTAAGAATATCCTGCCCCTATATATATATATATATATATATATATATATATATATATATATATATATATAGGGGTGGCAATACATGTATTGACCCGCGGGTTGACCCGTGACCCGACCCGCCAAATCACGTGTCGTGTCAACCCGCGGGTCAGGGCGGGTCGTGTCAGGGTTGTGTAAATGTGACCCGTTTTTTTCGTGTCGGGTCACGTGTCAACCCGCGGGTTCGCGTGTCAACCCGCACAATGTCATTTTTTATTTTTTTATTAAATATTTTATTATATTATTATTTTTATTCATTTATATATTGATATATATAGTCATTGTTTAGTATAGAAAAGAATAGAAGGAACTAAAAATCTCAAAAAACAGAAGCTAATCTTTTTTTATTTTTATTTTTATTTTTTATTGTTTTTAATTTACTTATTTTTCAAAAAATCCCACTTTTTTTTTAAATTTTGCGGGTCATGTCGTGTCGACCCGTGACCCGCAACGGGTCGTGTCAGGGTCGTGTCAAATAGTGTACGGGTCAAAAACGTGTCGTGTCGTGTCGGGTTGACCCATATTGTCACCCATATATATATATATATATATATATATATATATATATATATATATATATATATATATATATATATATATATATATATATATATAGGGGTAAACATTTCTGCAGCCACTTTAGATAAGCTTATCTACAACTACCGTTTATAACTATGTTCTCTCGGGAGAACATAGTTATAACATTAAAGTTGCTTTTTTCTCTGTCTCCACGTCAGCAGACAGGTTCTGAAAAGTAAATGAGGAGAGAAAAAAAAAGCAACTTTTAATGTTATAACTATGTTCTCCCAGGAAAACATAGTTATAAACGGTAGCTGTAGATAAGCTTATCTAAAGTGGCTGTAGAAATACTTTTGCCTATATATATATATATATATATAGGGTAAAATGTGTATCATTTTAAAGAATGTAAAGTTGTGTCATTTTAAGTGAGAGAAAGATAAATAAAGGAGGAGAAAGAGTGGACAAAAAATATAAAGGTGTGGTCCCACCTCTTTTTTTGTTTGTTTGGAGGTTACAAGGAATTGAACACAACACTCTACACTACACACACTCCTAACACACACACCCCACACCACTAGGCTAACTCTTGTGGTGCGGTCTCACCTCTTTCTGAGAGTGAAATGACATAAGTTGTGTCATTTAAAATGATAAATATTTTTTTCCATATATATATATGAGGTATAATCCTTTGACACCAATGTCAAATTTAAAATTTGACACCTCATCTGAGAGCCGTTAGATCAAAAAAGATCAACGACTCTGATTTGTAAGCATGTGACACCATTGATCTTTTTTGATCTAACGGCTCTCAGATGAGGTTGAAATTTGACATTAGTGTCAAAGAATCCTACCTCTATATATATATATATATATATATATATATATATGAAATAAATTCGTCAGATTCGATTAAAAAAACGATGAAGTAAGACAAAAATAGCCCCTTTTTGAAAGAGTCGGTCAGATTTTGTGAAAATTAATGAAAAATGAGTTTTCACTGTCCAGCTAGCTCCTATTAAATGGCTCAAATCTCCCACTTGTGCCGAAAATGTCAACTGCTATCTCTCTTCACTTTACAGGTGACAAACTAATATCTTAGAATGCGTGCCAAATATTAAATAAGATCTCTCCTAACCATACTTTTTTCACGCATGAATTTTGAAATTAAATGTAGAACCACATGCTTAAGGATTCAAACTCCTCCTACAGTTCTACAAACTAACATACGTTGGTTGTTAATGTCAACCATTTCTCTCAAGCGATACATATTTTATCGTATTATTATTATGGAAAAAGTATTTCTTCAATCATCGGAGATAAAGTTATCTCCAGTGAACTCAAAACAATGTCGTTTTGGGTTATAAGATTAAAAAATTATAATGACAAAGACTAATATAACCCTGCAATATATTATAATTACAAAAATACCTTGATTTTCGTCCTAAAATGACATCGTTTTGGCTCACTGGAGATAACTTTATCTCCGGTAATTGAAGAAATCCTTTACCCTATTATTATTATTATTATTAATTTTGTATATTTGTTCCTAACACATAGTATGATGTTAAAGAAGTCAATCAATTATTCAAGAATAGCCCAATGAAATATTAGAGTCTAGATATTATATTTGTCATCGGATAAAGAAAATTTGCATGTGGACTTAGAAGACTCATTTGGCCATGATATTATGAATGGTGATTGGACAAAAAAAGCCGTATACATGAGTGAAACAGGGAAAAGATATCAGTTTCTTTTTTACCTATTGAAGTTAATCTATAATTAGTCCTGTGGGATTCACCATTTAAAATAAATTATATTTTCTTATTAATTGTATTGCCTATTCACATATTTTCATCAACATGGAGTTCTTCCATTTCCTTGGCTGCAGCACTTGTTTCCGTTATGTACGTAGATGGGTGTATATTCTCATTCTGACAAACGATAAAAAAAAAAAAAAAAAACCATTCATCATTCAAAATTATTTGTTGGCTTTAAGATTAAATAAAAAATGAGCTTTCAGCTATCAACATTCATAATACTAATTGGGTTGAAATAATAGTGATTTTGTCCTCGTGACAAAAGAAAAATAAAAATGCCTTGTACAGCATTCATAGTACTTGACACAAGAATATTTATAATGGGGTCTTGCTGTCGTCTTTTGACGAGTGAGTGAGGCTATACAGTTAATACTAACTATGGTTAGCAGATTTCTAAGTTGAATATATTTTGAATAAATAAAGTTATGTAGGTCTACAAATTCCAAATGGCAAAATTTCATTGGTCTAGATGATATAAGAACCTCTCCTTATTATAGCAGCAACTTGCACATACCAACCATGTTACTACCCTAAAAAAACATGGAGAGCATACATTTAGCCACCAACTTGCACTAGGCGGTTTGACTAAAATTATATATGCTCTGTTTTTTTTAATAAAAAGAGTTATTTAAAGTAATTTTATCTTTAAAATAAATAAATGAATATATATAAATATATAGGATTAATATTTTCTATGTTGAAAGAAATAATTTTATCTTTTATACACACATAAGAAAAAAAATATGGATCCCACTTTTATATGTGTGTAGGAGATAAAATTATTCCCTATAAATCCCTATATATTTTAAAATTTTAATAAATTGTTATGGGTGCTCCACTTTTGTTGTGTTACTTCTTACCACTTTCCTTTTTATATGAATTTCTGTTTTTTATTTTATAAAATTATATGAATTTCTTAGTATATCAAACAATGAGAGAAAAAGAAGAAGAAGCAAATACCATCTTTTGGAATCAGTGTGCGTGAGTCGTCCATTGCTCAAAAACTATAAGGGGCGTTTGGTACAGGAGAAATTTTTATTTGTCCGGGAATCTCAATTTTCAAAAATATGATTTTTGCATTCAGTTTACGATAATATCTGAAAATTTAAAATTTAGAAAAATTCAGTTTCCCGAGAATCCCTCAAAATCCTGCGTACCAAACGCCCCTAAAGTGAAATAGATTTTAAAAAGTATTTTGGTTTAGAAAAATGGTTACTGAAAACATCATTCTTACATTACTTTTGCGCAAATTGCACATATATAATTCAATTTTCATCGGCTACACCAATTTCCACCTTCGATGTGCGTGTGTGTATATATATATATATATATATATATATATATATATATATATATATATATATAGATGTAGGATTCTTTGACACTTCATCTGAAAGCCGTTAGATAAAAAAAGATCAACGATGTCACATGCTTACAAATCAGATCCGTTGATCTTTTTTTATCTAACGACTCTTAAATGAGGTGTCAAATTTAAAATTTGACACTGGTGTCAAAGGATCCTACCTTATATATATATATATATATATATATATATATATATATATATATATATATATATGGGTCAGGATCATTTTACACTCTCAATTTTATCCGTTGATTCCATTTTTATCTAACGGCTCAAATTTTTTAGTAATGTGAGTCGTTGGATATAAGTGGATCAATGGTCAAGATTGAGTGTAAGACTTCTAACTCTTACACCGGTGTAAGAATATCCTATATATATATATATATATATATATATATATATATATATATATATATATATATATATATATATAATATGCACATGGCACACAATCATGATGAAAGAAAACTGGTCTTCAACCACCGAAAAAGAAAAAAGTCATTGCTACACAGTATAATATGCTTAGTGTCGTAGGTTGCGGAAGCAAGAAAGAAAAAAATTAGAGATACTTTAAATATTATAGTAAGAGGTATCAGGTTTTCAATGTTCAAGAATATTACCTTTAATTTAAAAAAAGTCCTAGTTAATGCAAGTTATTAAACTCTCATCTATATAGATCCAAATAATCGAACTTTCACTTATTAAATTTGCGTGTTATTTGAATGATATTATTAATATATACAAGATATAGTGTCCATTTGCTCTTATCCTTTGGGCCTTGAAATTTTCAACTATTTATACACAAAAATGATGGCTGCGAGCTGCAGCCTCCAAGTAATTCCAATCAACAACCATGTTGGGTGCTCCATCTTGTTCCCACTTGCTCCATATGATTGATTGCTTTGTAGCTTTTCTTCTTGTGCTTATCACCCTTTCTTCCCTTCCATCAACAGTTGAACCACTATTCTTCAACATAACAAACTTCAATGATGCTGGAAGCAGCATGTTATATGAAGGTGATGGCATGGCAAGCAACGGATCCATAGACTTAAACAAAGTGAGTTATCTTTTCCGAGTTGGTAGAGCTATATATGGAGAACCCTTGCACCTGTGGGACTCATCTTCTAAAGTTCTCACAGATTTCACCACTAGTTTCACATTCATTATTGACAAGGTGAATGATACCTCATATGGTGATGGCTTTGCCTTTTACTTGGCACCTCTTGGGTACCAGATTCCTCCAAACTCAGCAGGTGGCACTTTTGCACTATTCAATGCCACCACCAATAGCAACTTACCCCAAAACCATGTTTTTGCTGTTGAGTTTGATACCTTCATAGGTTCAACTGACCCACCAATGAAACATGTGGGGATTGATGATAACTCTCTCACATCTGTGGCTTTTGCCATGTTTGATATTGACAACAACATTGGGAACCCTTGTCATGCTTTGATTACTTACACTGCTTCCACCAACACTCTTGCTGTGTCTTGGTACTTCAATGGAAACACAAGCAAAAACACAAGCATAAATTCTTCTCTTTCTTACCAGGTTGACTTCATGAAGATTCTACCAGAGTGGGTGAATGTTGGGTTTTCAGCTTCAACTGGCCTTTCCACAGAACGAAATGTTATACAGTCTTGGAAGTTTAGCTCAACTTTGAACTCCACTGGTGTGAACAGAACAAACAAGAAGTCCAACACAGTTGTGCTAGTTGTTGCTGTGATTTGTCCAGTGATTTTGGTGCTCTTGGTGGCTAGTTTTGCTTATTGGCTAATCCTGAAGAAGAGAAGAAGAACCAACGTTGATGGTGATATTGATGAGTATGGATCCACCTCGGTGATTTTTGATTTGGATAAAGCAACTATACCTAGAAGATTTGATTACCGAGAGTTAGTTGCAGCCACCAATGATTTTGCAGATGATAGAAGGCTAGGAAGAGGAGGGTCAGGACAAGTTTACAAAGGGGTTCTGAGTTATCTAGGAAGAGTTGTTGCTGTGAAAAGGATCTTTGGTGACTTTGAGAATTCAGAGAGAGTGTTCACCAATGAGGTTAGGATCATAAGCCGTCTTATACATAGAAACTTGGTCCAATTCATAGGGTGGTGCCAAGAGCAAGGAGAGTTGTTACTTGTTTTTGAGTACATGCCTAATGGAAGCCTTGACACACATCTCTTTGGGAACAAGAAAACTTTAGTATGGGATGTGAGGTACAAGGTAGCATTAGGAGTGGCCACAGCACTTCGTTATCTTCATGAGGATGCAGAGCAGTGTGTTCTTCATAGAGATATTAAGTCAGCTAATGTGTTATTGGACACAGATTTCAGCACCAAGCTTGGAGATTTTGGGATGGCAAAGTTGGTGGATCCAAGGTTGAGGACTCAGAGGACAGGGGTAGTTGGGACATATGGGTATCTGGCACCAGAATACATCAATGGAGGGAGGGCTAGTAAAGAATCAGACATGTATAGTTTTGGTGTTGTGGCTCTCGAGCTTGCAAGTGGAAGGAGGACTTATCAAGATGGAGAGTTTCATGTGCCTCTGATGAATTGGGCATGGCAACTCTATGTGGAAGGGAATATTCTTGATGCTGCTGATGATGGATTGGATAAAGTGTTTGATGTGAATGAAATGACAAGCTTGCTCATTGTGGGGCTATGGTGTACCAATCCAAATGAGAAGGAAAGGCCTAAGGCAGCACAGGTAATAAGGGTTCTTCAGCTTGAAGCTCCATTACCTGTGCTTCCACTTGATATGCATGATCGTCCTTCTCTTCCAATGATTAGGCAATCCATTTCTTCCTTACAAACACCACCCATCACTAACAGCTTTATTAGTGTTGGACGTTAATTTGCTGTCACAATTGATTTGCAGGGTTTGTGGATGGAAGCTATGTTTTTTATGTGGAATTGATTTTATTCTATGTATTTTTTTTTTTTTTACTTCCTGTGACTAATTATTTGATGGCTTGAAAAATGGTTGGGACTGACAATTGTCATTAGATTCTATCCCAAGTTGCAAAAGGCACTGAATTATTTTGATGAAAATTCCCTTTAGAATCATCACTATTTAATTTATTACAAATGTGCAATTTTTTTGTCGGATTTTATTGTATGGCTCTATATTAAACAAATGAATCCACATCAACCCATAAGAATATGCCAGGGGTGTGCTTCACATACATATACCTACCACCGATTAATATTCATGAGGAATTTTCTCCCCTTGAATGTCTCTCATTCTCACACTGATCACTTTTCACTAAGCTGCTTAGACCTGTCCTCTCATGATCTTTTTTTGTCCCCACGTTATGCAAACAAATTTTTCAAGATATTGGATATGAAAGTGACAAGAGAAAGGACATAAATGAAAAGGTCCTACATCAGAGCCACTTTATTTTTTTCTCAATTTCTTCTGACATCTCTGCACAATTTAAAGTAACATAAATTGGCTTGGTAATTTCCAGCTGTATTAGAACTTGCTAATCCAAAAGAATGTTTTTTCACTTGACTATATACCATCATCACTATGTACTTACAAGGGACATCAACTCAACATTTTTGGTTTCTGAAGTGTCAATAGCCACCTTTGAATTCACTCTTTCGCTTGGAAGAATGGAAGAGTTGGGATCAGCTCTAGGTACCAAAAACAGCAGGCAAAGTTGAGTGATTCTTATAATGTTTCGGATCAAAATAGCCAACCAAAGATTATCAAACCTTGATCTTGTAATCTTTAGTATGTGGAGTACAAATTCTCCTCCCCATGATGCTGAGAGAAGTCCAACATTATCAATTGACATTAGCAGAGCAAAGAAGTTGCCTTCAATACCTGAGGGCAAAGCTTTGAACTGAGAACAAGAACAAGCATAGGCATCCACTTTAGCCTATTAGTCATTTGAGCTATGCTTTCAACAATCACAACAAAGAAATAATCTGGTATACCAAACTTCAGGTTCCATCTCAAGACCAGAATCAAATCAAGCATCCCTGACAAACAACTGAATCCAGAAGAGCAAGTCTCTGAATGAGTAATCTTTTAGAGCAACAGTTATAGTGTTGCACCTAAAAGGGACCCCACTGAACTAATAGAAACTATAAAACCGATACTCTCCTGTGTAAGAAAATGAATGATAAAGGTTACTGAAGTTCTATACTCTATCATCTTCTATTTAACAAAATGATTTTTCATTCAACTTTAGCCAAATTAAAAAACCACATCCTAGCATGAATGAATAAGCATAACCAATTACCTGAGAGAAAGATGGCCCACCCTTTGAGTCTGTATACCAATAGAACATTCCTTCAAGGATATCCAAACTCAATGCAGGGGATAAATACGTATATAAACAAGGTCTCCATACTTATTCACTCTTTTTTTTTATTTTTGATAACAACTTATTCACTCTTTAATGTAGTCCACATAACCTTGCCAGCATGAAGAAAATTTTGGTTCACCTAGACACAACATGGAAAATCAGATTATGCGAGTATTACGACTATGGAAATGACAAGTTAGTTTTACCTGTCTGAAAGAAAAGTTTTGCATACGAGGCCCATCAAGCAGAAAACCAACCAAAATTACAAGTCCAGCTGGGATAGTCATCAAACCAAACACACCCTACAAGGAAAATGCTCTAATGAAATGCAAGTAATGAAGTACATAAAAGACAAGCAATTTTATTTTATTTTGCAGATTATAGGACAAAAAGTTTCCAAAAGCTAACCATAAGGCCCATAAGACGAACAAAGACACCACTAATGAAGAAACCTAACAGTGCTCCCACAGAATGGGGCGCAACGAGAGCTCATTCCTGGACTCAAAAGAGAGTAGTTGGGTTCTCTCAGTAACTAAAAAATGTATGATGCCTGAGGAATTCCATTAATAACCGGCTGTTTTGATCCTTTGGAACAACTAATTTTAGTAGATCCTTTTCGCTCCAATAAAAAAATGAGAAATTACTATCATACTTGTATGGAAAGAAGAGAAAAATATTTTTTTTTATCTAAATATCACTTGTTAAATGGCAGATGTACCTACTACAGATATAGAGAAGATGATGTGCGCATCCAGTCATGTCCAATTTTGGTAAGACTGATTGCTTAATAAATCCATAAATTGGTTTCAAAATACTATGTTCTTATCATTTATTATTTAAATAATAATTTAATTTTTTTTTCCCTAACTTCCCTTTTCTTTACTTTGAAATTAAAACTGCACTATCCACAATTCATAATACACACATTATAAACAAAACACCACCCATACACTATAATTATCAGCAAATGTTACATCCTTTGTCCATTTACCCCAAATCAGGCGGAACCGTGATTTTACCCCAAATCAGAGGCCATTTACATATAATATTCCGATTTATAAATATAATTACATTAGCAAAGATGCTGCAGAAAGAGATCACACTTTTTCCATATCCATTGCTTTGGCCAAGGTTTAAACCTTGGGTAAAGCAATTTTTTTAAATTTTTTGGGGTCTAAGGAAATTATCTCCTTCTCGGTGGGAGATTAGTCTCCCCTATCTTCAGGTGACAATAATTTAATACATCCTCTATTTTATTGAGGAGAGTCTTCAGGTCATATTCCGAGAACAAGGTGATTAGAAAATATTGAATAAGAATGCTTTCAAATTTTATATATATATATATATATATATATATATATATATATATATATATATATATATATATATAGAAAATGATCAACTTACACCGGTGTAAGAATAATAAATCTTACACTAAATCTTAACCGTTGATTTTTGTGGATCTAACGGTTCAGATTTATTGGAAATTAAAAATTAATTAATAAGTGAGACCGAATAAATCTTAACCGTTAGATGCAGAAAATCAATGGTTAAGATCTGGTGTAAGATGATCCTGTCCCTATATATATATATATATATGGGTCAGGATCATTTTACACCAGTGTAAGTTACACCCTCAATCTTGTCCGTTGATTTCATTTATATCTAAAGGCTCTAATTTTTTAGTGATGTAAGCCATTGGATACAAGTGGATCAATGCTCAATATTGAGTGTAAGACTTCTAACTCTTACACCGGTGTAAGAATATCCTGCCCATATATATATATATATATATATATATCTACATATATATGGGGCAGGATCATCTTACACCAGTGTAAGAATAATAAATCTTACACTAAATCTTAACCATTGATTTTCTACATCTAACAGTTAAGATTTATTACGTCTCACTCATTAATTAATTTTTAATTCTCAATAAATCTCAACCATTGGATGCACAGAAATCAACGGTTAAGATTTGGTGTAAGATTTATTATTCTTACACTGGTGTAAGTTGATTCTATCCCTATATGTATATATATGTATATATATATATATATATATATATATATATATATATATATATATATATATATATATATATATATATATATATAAGGCAGGATCCTTTGACACCAGTGTCAAATTTGAAATTTGACACCTCATCTGATAGTCCTTAGATCAAAAAAAGATCAATGGTGTCACATGCTTACAAATCAGAGTCGTTGGTTTTTTTTTATCTAATGGCTATAAGATGAGGTGTCAAATTTCAAATTTGACACTGGTGTCAAAGGATCCTACATATATATATATATATATATATATATATATATATATATATGTGATAAGATATTGTGACAACCAAGTAAAGTTACAACCAATGTTACTACTAATCAATCTCACTGTTAGATTGGTAATAGTGATCCGACGGTCCTCATTGAATTCTTAAAAGCCCATCCGTCTTCGCTTCTCTTTCTCCCCCTTCTCTCTCTCCCCTTTCTCTCTCTCCCCTTTCTTTCTCTCACATACATTCTGCCGCCACCGATCTTGCCTATAGCCTCCGTCGCGACGACGCCGCTGTCCATAACCTCCGTCCCGCCGCCGCCGCTGCATCTTGCGAAGAGCTTCGCCGAATTCACGAGATAGCCTTCTTTCTCTCTCACATACACTCTGCTGCCGCCGATCTTGCCCATAGCCTCCGTCGCGACGACGCCGCTGACCATAACCTTCGTCCCGCTGCCGCCGTTGCATCCCGCGAAGAGCTTCGCCGAATACCCGAGATAGGGTTCGATTTTTACCATATTCAATTTTTGAGCAGATCAATTATCGCGGTTCTAGTTCGATTAATACTAGTGTATTACCCGTACGATGCACGGGGAAAAAAGATCAAAATTTTTGTCGTCTATCCTGGTTGGTTAATCGCACTTCAAACCTTATACCTACAAAAAAAAATTGTGTTGCTATTTTGTTCTATATTTCAGGTGGAAAAACTACGACATTGACACAGAACTTTGTAAATATCAACCACAAACAAAGATCTTCTATTCAGAAGGATCAATTATTTTTGCATACTAAAATATCATATTACACCATGTTAACATGAGGAAGGGATATAAAAAGAATAATGCATACCACTCAAAGTAACAATAACATCAAGCACATATGGAGTTAAAAGATCAACACTTACCAAATATGCCATTTGCTATGTGATTTCTGTTCCTTGTGCCTACTCTGCGATACAAAAGGCAAAAACTCATTAAATAAGTTACACTAATATGTTAACGCCCAAAAGTAATACTATCAGGAAAAAAAATCGGTCGGTTTATAAAAAAAAAACTTATCGAACTGGAAAAACAGAGTTATGTACCATTTTTACTATCACCAAGCGATTGTATAGCATTATAGTAAAAAAAAATATTTTTCACAACACACTCAAGGTATTCATCCTTTTATAGTCAAAAATCAAGTATCCACATTTTGTATAAAAACTTTATTTTAATAATAATATAGATAATAAAAGCTTTTTTGCTTT